GTGGGAACGTTGCCGACCGCCAGTTCCATGCACTTCAGTATAGCCGACTCGGAGGCATCGCCAGTGCACTCGCGCTTCATGACAGGGATGTGGTCCTGACCGGGAAGGAACTCAGCGCGAGAGCAAAAGCACGCGACACGCGATAAGGCCTTCCACACGAGCGACGACTTGTCAAACGAGACACCGGTTTGCTCTTCAGTGGTGTCCGCGTCGACGATCTGATTGTCGAACCAGAGATGAGAGACAGTCATTCGGTTTTGAGTTAGAGTTCCCGTCTTATCGGAACATATGGTTGACGTCGAGCCCAGTGTCTCCACGGCCTCCAAGTTCTTCACCAAACAGTTCTTACTTGCCATACGTTTGGCCGTCAGAGTCAGACATACGGTGACTGTGGCTAACAGTCCTTCGGGAACGTTGGCGACGATGATGCCGATGAGGAAGATAACGGCGTCCAACCAGTGGTAGCCCAACGCGAAGGCTATAATAAAGAAGGAGACGCCCAGAAAGACTGCCACTCCTGTGATGATGTGAATGAAATGAGTGATCTCTTTGGCGATGGGAGTGTCGCCCATCTCCAGACCCGACGCCAGGTTCGCAATACGACCCATGACTGTGCGGTCGCCGGTGCAGATGACAATGCCTCTACCGGTGCCCTCAACGCAATTGGTCGAAAAGAAGGCCACATTCTTAGTCTCCAATGGGTTATCATTAGTGCATTCGGGAGATCGGGACTGGGGTTCAGATTCTCCGGTGAGGGACGAGTTGTCGACTTTGAATCCGTGCGCCTGTATTACGCGAATGTCAGCCGGTATACGGTCTCCGCCCTTCACTTCGACCACCTCTCCCATCACCACCTCTTCGGCCGGAATCGTGTACTTCTGGCCATTCCTGATGACAGTCGCGTACTATCAATGCCAAGCATTCATTAGGAAAATGTGTTTTTAATAATTGAAACAAAAACAAGAAAAAGAGTAAACTTTGTATTCAATTAAATCTCGAAACACTATTAGCGATAAGAGAAAGCGATTACGAAATATTAAAAATTAATCAATAGAGACTTGAGATATAGGTCTGGCTTTTGCATGTCTTAAGTCTTAATGAATTCTAGTCATTAAAAGTGGAAAATTATTTTCCACTCAATCGTGTATTAAAAATGTAATTCTCTCTCATTATTGTCAATCAGATTACGAGTTAAATAATGTCTTATCTCTCCAAACGACATGTTCAACACATACTAAAAAAAGTGTTCACAAAATTCAATGTCGTCTCCCATTCATGAAAACCTAAAAGACATAAGACTTGCGGAGTCTTAAGACTCAAGAATATTCAAAAGGAGTCATTAATCGCATCGAAGAAAAAATTACTTCAAATCTAATAATAGCTATCGTTTTGTGTGTTAAACCTTATGTTAAGATAATGCTTGAGAACAGAGGAGACACTACTCGAGCGACGAAAATGCATTACCAAATAATTTATCGATATTCGAGGGGAAAATAGTTTTCATGTGATTTATCATATAATATTAGAAATATAATTTTCGCCGTTTTCAATGTTATGACAAATAATTATTCATACGATATATAAAAGGCTTTCAGATCTGAAAGGCTTGCATAATGTGAATGTGCTGTTAGTTATAGACAAATTTATATTTATCACAAGTCTATGACATAACTAGCTATAGGACTCATTATATCAACTTATTGTATAACAAATGGTTTTTTAACTTAAATACATATTTCAATAAACTAAATGTCGGTTAGAAATAAATTTTCCACGACTTTATTAATAAATTAGCAGAAAATATGTCTTAAATTTTTGTCAAATAATTCCGATTAAAAAATATCTATCAATTCCTTATCTATTTATAAAGTAAGTTAAAGTTTTGCATTGATTTTCAGAAAAAACACATAACATTCGCTGTAAATATAAAATACTAAGTTATCGGAAAAATTTAGTTCAAAAACATACATCAAAGCTATGTTTTATCTATCAATCAAATGAAAGTATAATATAAATTCAAACAACACTAAAATGAGTGCTTTTTAAACAACTTTTTAAATAGAGTGAGACATAAATAAAAGGATAAGAGAGACAGAAAGAGAGCACAGAGGATATATGTGTGAGCCGGGAGGGAGGGAGGGAGAGAGAGAGTCAGAGGGAAACGTAATCTTTAAGTACAAATCACACACAGTTTTAAACATTTTTGATTTGTGAAAGAAGTGCACAGAAATATGTATTAAATGTTATCAATTAATGAGACAAACAGATAGTAATGACGCAAATCAGTGGCGATAAGCGCTAAGACATGGAAAGACAAGACATACTTGTGGTATCATATTCTTGAATGAGTCCATTATTTTGGAGCTCTTCGCCTCCTGATAGTAGGAGAAACATCCGGTCACTATCACCACCGTTGCCAACACTATTCCCAGATATAACTGCAATTAAAGTCGCAAACAGACTCATGATTAATAAAATTAATAATAATTTCACACACAAAAACTGTTTCAATTCGTAGGAAACAAAAAACACATAAAATTATAAATAATTATGAAAATGACACAAAAAATTAATTGCAAATCATTTGCGCAAAAAAGAGAAACAGTTTTCGTTGTATTGTGCGCTGGAAATGGGTTTTGAACTCATAATTCACTCCACAATACAAATGAATTATTAATGAACGGGTAGTCATGTGGTGTGGGGAATGGTATGACACTAATACTCACATTATCGTCGGGCGCCTCATCGAAACTGGAGGCCTGTATGGAATATGCGATGAAACAGAGTATAGCGCCGATCCATAGCAGTAGAGCGAACCCTCCGAACAAGTTTTTGCTGAATTTAACCCATTCTGGAGTCCTCTTCGGCGGCGACAACGCGTTCAGACCATCCCTGAGCAGCACCTCGTGAGCCTGTTCTGGGGTCAGACCCTATCAAACACACAACCAGACAGTCGTTTTAGTGATATTGGATATCAAACAGTACTTTAATTACATATAAGTTACACATAATATAGACTATTATTTCAAGAGATACTCTACTCTTATCGCGAAAGCACTTCAACCCGAAAGCTATTCTTAAGTCTAGAAATAACAATAAATATTTCATTGATCTATGAGTTTATCGTATAATCATTTAATTATTACAATAAGTGATGAGAACTTTAAATATTCCTCAGGAAATGTCAATCAATTGTATGTTTTTGTTATTTACACTCATTTTATTAGTTATCTATAGTTATAACTTATTTGTGATATAATGTTATATGAACTCATATAGACAGTACATACAGGACTATATCTCAAAAGCATATTATGTCTTTAAACACATTTTTGAACAAATAATGGTCTAAATGTTGACATAATTAGGAGTTAGTGTAGGGATAGGAATGGGATAGGAGTGGAGATGGGAAGAGAGACTAAACTCTATACTTATTGTATAATACTTTCGAGAGTTATATAGTATATTAAATAATGACTGTGTGATTGTCTCTACTTATTAATAGTTACGTAAATACATAGAGTAAGTGAATAACTATTATAACTATTTATATTCGGCTGAACTTTCCATACATTTATGGCATTTAAGAGACAATTGCTTTACAATTGTATTCAATATATGAAAATACAGTAGATTACTGTAATACATAA